GAGAGTACAATTTTTCCAAACAGATGATGGTCATCATTATCGAGCATAATTTGAAGGTATGAAGGTATCTTTGGTCTTCGATTTCGAGGAAGAGGGAAGACGGAGAAGATAGCAGGGATATCCTTTAGGTGAGGAAGTTTTATTCTCCTGTATGCTTGGCTGGAAATTTGTGGAGAGAAGGGGGCGTACCTGCAAGGCACTCTGACGATCTAGTAAGAAATAGTGCTAAGAGATACAAGAAAGATATTAGGGTGTTATGAGTGAATATTTGATACCTGGCCCTCACAAGTGTGAGGGTTTATATAATGCCTCTGACGCGTAGCTATTGGTCCTTACTTTTGGGCCTAGATATGTGTGTTTGCTAAAATAGGTAGCTGCCAGGACTTGGTCAAAACGAGAAGTCGTGCCTGTAACTAGTTGTTGCATCGAGCAATGATGAGATGACGAGGAAAAGCATTTATGAGTGTTTCCTGGGCGTCTGTTCTTTGTGTATTGAGCAGACTGAGAGCTAGCTTTCCGCACGGGCAAGCGCGCGTTTCGAGCATTGCTGGTTGTGCCGCTCGAGGGTGTTATCGACTAGAGATGATGGGCCAACGTTATTGGATCATGCCAAAGGTGGAAACAGATTGGGTCAATTCTAGTCATTGGACCAATCTAAAATAGATTGTACTACAAGTAAATGACTTACAACACAAGCAAACTCTCACAACTTGATAGTTTTGAATTTTAGTTAGTTAGTTGATTTTCTGACTATATATACTCTTTTCATACATTGCAATTCATTAAGATCATTTTGAATAAACACTCTCTTTACTATAATTTAATTCTTCTCCTCTTTCATTTCATATGTTCTTCATTAAGCTCATTCCCTTTTGAAAAAAAGTTATCCCAACACTTTAAACAAACACTTTAAACATGTTTGGAGAGGAAGGGAAGACTTCAGAGAAAGAGGATTTTAAAAAAAAAAGAAATCTTTAATATTTTTTGAGAAAATAATTTTGTTTAGGATGATAAATAAATATTTGTCATTACTCTATTTTAAAAATTTTAAACTATTATAACAACATAGATTACAATAGAATAATTTATATAAGCCTTCTAAAACTTTTCAAACTCGTCTTTCAATATAATTGTGAAGTTTCCCAACTAAGGAGCTTTTATATATGAATAAAATCAAACACTTCTCCACCAAAACGTTCAAGTTCTTCTTACATAATTCTTCTTATTTTTCAAAACTCTTCTCTCTTATCTCCTCAAAACTTAATAAAGCCTCGGGAATAATAAGAATGTCTCATTGCAAAACACATAATAGGTAAGACACTCTACCCCCTTTCTCTCTTAATCTACTTCAGTTTCGAATGCATGTTTGTTAGAGAAATTTATTAATTTCTATTTCTGTATAAACTCTGAAATCATATTTCTTGTCAAACCAATCATTTTCAATTAAAACAAAAGTAACGGAATTTTTACTATTTTTTATTAAAAATTACTTAAGAGTTTCACTTTTTCATTAGGTAAATTATTAAGGGTATGTTTGAATTGATGGAATATGATGGAATGGAGTGGATTAGAGTTATATTCCATTCTTTGGATTGATTAAAAAAGGATTAAATGGAACACTATTGGATAGAATACATTTCATCCCATTCTATCACTTTCTATCATTTTTGTACCCTCTAATTTGGGCGGATTGACAAAGTGACTGTATTCCATCACGACGAGAAATTAACATGTCACCCCCCAATTTTTATTATTCCTAAAATACACCTTTCATTATTTACTCTAAGTTTTTTACTTTTGTCAAAAAAATTTACTATTGGTTAAAGGGATAAATTTCAAAATTCCTGTACTCTTAGCAAATTTTTGGTACCGATTTTTGTCGCATACAAGAAATTCTTTAGATTCTACAAATTTCCGGTAGCGATATACCAGAAATTTTAAAATTTCCGATAGCGATATACCGAAAATTTTATAATTTACGGTAAATTTTGCAAAAGTCTCTGCAGGTACCGAAAATTTAGCAAATTTCCGATAGAAAACCTGTATCATAAATATCAAATTTCCGGTCTACCAGAAATTTCAGTTAAACTTGAAATTTTTGATATGTCTGCAGATGAAGTTTTATATCTTTGCGGTCCTGAATCGGCAACTTCAGCTTCTTTTACAGATTTATGTACTGATCTTACGCAGTTCTTCATCACAGATACCGTATATTTTCTATACCATTTACACAATTACGTATTTTTTTTGTAAATTGATGAAGTTTACTAATTATATGTTTTTGTAAACATATTTTTGAATCACGAGATAAAGTTCTAGAATGGACACGGTCTATTGGAAAAAATCATGGTATTGTTGTTGTTATAATTCGGTCCGATACTGCTAATGGGATGCGGGGGAGAAAGGATAAATTGATTATGGATTGTGATAGAGGAGGAAATTACAAAAATAAAAATGAATCTGTGAAACTTTCTGATGGAAATTATACTATGAAGGTTAGATGCCCATTTAGGCTGAGATCTGTTCCAAGTGGTATCGGTTAGAAGATGATGGTTAGATACAGGATGCACAATCATATACTATATAAGGATTTGGAAGGTCATGATATATTGGGCCGTCTAAAATATCATGAAAGGAATTTTGTGAATGACATGACAAAGTACAACATGGCACCAAGGTACATCGTCTGCTTTGAAAGGCAAAGATCCAAAAAACCTCACGAGTATTACCCAGGTATACCTAACTAGAGAAACATATAGAATGGGCAAGAGAGGTGCAATGACAGAAATGAAAATTCTATTGAGCCTTATTCATCAAGAGAAATACATGTGTTGGACTAGAAACAGGGAGAATTCAGATACTATGGGTGATATCTTCTGGACATACCCTGACTCTGTGAAGTTGTTAAATATGTTTTATCTGGTGTTAATTTTTGATTGCACATACAAGACAAATAGGTAAGAATTTTACTTATACCATCCTAAAATATGTTGAGTGAGCTGGTTAATGAATGTGCATTTTAATCGTGCAAGTACCAGCTTCCACGGCTAGAGATTATTGGTGTTACATCAACAAAATTGACGTTTTCATTTGCTTTTGCCTATTTAGAACATGAAAGGGAGGAGAACTTCACATGGGAACTATAGAAGCTCAAAGAGTTAATCTATTCAGAGAAATTACTACTAAATGTTATGGTGATGGACCGAGAACTTGCATTAATGAATGCCATTGATTCCGTGTATCTAAATGAAACTCATTTGTTGTGTATGTTCCATATTTCAAAAAACGTGAGCATGAAATGTAAAGAGTATGTGAATTTCGAAAGACAATAACATGTCATGGATCAATGGAACAACATCATGTATTCAAATACAAAAGACGAGTTTGATGTACATGTCAACTACTTCGAGAGTGTTTGTGGTGATATTCCATCATTTGTCAAGTATGTGAAAGAAACATGGTTAACATCATATAAAGAAAGACTTGTTGCTGCATGGACTAACATAATCACTCACTTAGGGAACATAACAACAGTGAGGTACATTGGATTAACATGAAAATATCTTTATGTTTACATATTAATTTGAAAGTTGTTTAGATAATATGTTCATGATTTCTAGGGTGGAGTCTGCATATTGGAGACTAAAGATCTTGTTGACTACAAGTCGTGGTGATTTATGTCGAAGTTAAGATGTTATGAACACAATATTGTAGTTGCAGCTAGGTTCTATCAGAGTGTCATTTCAAAAAAGTATCTTCAAATGGATGTCGATTCCTGATACGGGTTACCTTATTGCTTCTAGATATAATGTCGTATTTGTTTCCGTTTCCATGAGACTTAACATAACATTTTTCCCACTTCTCATAGCTCCAACCTCATACACAAGTCGACATACAATCATTGTTGTGAGTTTTGTCAACGGAAATCATTGGATTCAGTTAAAATTTAAACCCGATTCTCATGCTTTTGCATCATTAGAATAATTCTCCCTTCATTTCTTAGTGACGGGAGGCAGTTGACAGCATATGCGGGTTGCTTCAGGCATTGAGAAGAATTGGTTAGACCGTGATTGTAGTTTTTTTTAATGTAACTATATAAGACAATTATTCTATTTATATATTTAGTCTGCTCGCTATTTTACAATGTATTTTATTCAAGTAATAGTTTTTAAAAAAAATTAAGTCTTAGTATTACCGAAAATTTGAAATTTACGGTATTTTTTATGCACCGGAAATTTCAAATTTCCAATTTGTATTTAGAATACAATTTCCAATTTGTATTTAGAATACAAAAAATACTGGAAAATTTGAAATTTATGATATTTTTCATGCTCCGAAAATATAAAATTTCCGGTTTGTTATTTTAATACTGAAATATACTGGAAATTTAGAATATCTGGTATCGAAAATTTCAAATTTTCGGTAACACCCAAATGTTACGGTAAAAACTTGGAAATTTAACAAAATCTCCGATATTTGCGTGAAATTTCCAGTACAAAATCGGAAATTTCAAAAATTCTGATATATTTCAAGGATATTTTCGTAACTGCGCCATATCAAGAGGCTGACATGTACTAAAATAAGAAGTGACATGTTAATTTCTCCATCATGACCTATTCAAACAATAGAATGATATTTTTATTTCACTCCATTTCGTTTTATTCTATCTCACTTCACCCCACTTTCCTATGCTATTAATTGGGCATCTAAACATAGCCTAAGACTCAATTTTTTTTGTTACGGCATAAATTTTTCTTTTATCCAGAATGATAGAAGTATATATATATATATATATATATATATATATATATATATATATATATATATATATATATATATATATATATATATATATATATATATTCTTTTGAGCAACAGCAAACAGTGTAGGCACTCTAATCTGGTCCCTAATTGCAATTTGCAAACACTTAATGAAAACTAAACTAAATCAACATTCCATCACAAGGTATAAAAACTGTTGTCGGAATTGGAATACACGATCAAGAAGATTCAAAAATTGGATCCAGAACAGGATTCCATCGTCTTTGCCGCACACAGTAAACACCTCCGTCATTTTCCGTTAACTTTGACACCGGTGAAACTTTCGCCGTTTTATTTCCCTTTCTTTTCCCACTCCCTCTCTCCGCAACCGCAATCTCAAACTCAGAGGCCTTGCAATTCACCCTACTCACCGGCACCAGCAGGTAAACCTTCCCGGATACAAGCTCCTCATCGGCACGCAAGGCCGTGATCCGTCGCGTTTTAAGGAGTACCTCCACCGGAGTGATGACGTAGCCGATAAGTTCAATCATTAGCTCCGCCGATTTCATAGGTAACTTGATGTCACGAACGTTACCGCAAGTGTCCAAAAGCGTTGCGGTTTTGTTCTTAGCCTTGATTACTTTGTCATTAAAAATCTGAAAAGTAGCACAAGAACAAGAACCTGTGTTACCCATGGAATTGTTTCTTAAAGAACAGAGTAAAATTGAGGAGATGAATATGCTTGTTATTATTTGTATTTGTGAACTATAATGTTCTATGAGAAGTGTATTTATAGAGTTTTAGAAGAAAATAAATGAATTGTCAATAAAGTCAAAGAAAGAATGGAATATTGAAGTGGATTTTGGCCTTCTTGGAGAACTAGTGTTAGAAACGCGGATCTTCATTTTCTACCTGGTTAGTACTAATTTTTGAACTTTTATTTGTCTTCATATAAATATATGATTTGTTTATGAATAGGGACTTAATAAGTTTATCAATATTAATATTATAACATATTATAAAATAATAAGTAGTATACCACCTATATTATATTAAAAATTAAAATCAGTAGATTAAGTTTAAACAAATGAAATACTAAAAAATAAATTCGTAAATTAAATTAATAAATAGAATTAAAATAAATTAAATATCAACGAATAATAAATTGATATAATATATTGTTCTAACTAAAAATAAATAAGGATTAAAATATATGATTGTAGTTCGATTCAATTTTAGAAAATTAATTTGAAATTTAATCTTTTATGAGCTGTTTTCAAATAGAAAATCAAAATACATCTATAATTATTTGGTTTTTGTTGCAGTTATTGGTTTTTTTAAATCTATTTATAATTTTTATTTAGATCAATTTGAATTTAAACATCTTTTATAGTTGAGTTTATCAAAAAAGTCTTATAGATTACATGGCTGGTCAGGTATATTGAGTATAAATTAAAGTGGAGTTCATTTGTATTGTGATAGTTACATTTTCATTTATTTAACAAATAATTAGACGTATCATGTATTGGCCAAATATATTGATGTCAACTTTCACAATAATTGATTGTTGGGACTAGCCTTCTAGAGTATAATTCAATGGTATTTTTGTAATAGTTATAGAGATGTTTTTTTTTATAGATTTTCACATTTTTTAAGATAATGATTAATTATATTAATATCAATAATAAAAATCTATCGAAACTGCCCTATGTTAAATTTGTCAAGCTACTTTATAACATTCTCTCTTCTTACTCATACGTCTCCTCATTCTTCTCTTTAGTTTTTTCTTTCTCATTTTTGTTTCTTATCTCATTCTTAGATCCATTATTTTTCTTCTTCTCTTATCATGTTTCTATTTCTCATTAATTTTTCTCATCTTTCTTCTCTCAATTTCACTTATTTTTTCATAATGAGTTTTCTAAATCATTTTCTCTCTATCTCTATTTCACTTATTTTTTTCTCATTCTTTTGTTTTATTTCCTCCATATTACAGATAGATCCTGAGACAAGAACAATGAAACAAGAATAATGTAGATCTGGAGATAAGAAAAAAGACAACATTATTAATGTAAGTGATAATATGTAGAAAAGTTAAAAATCCTATCATCAGCTTTTTTTAAAATTTTATTTCCCTTTTTTTATTAGGTTTTATATAGATCTGGAGATGGAGATATGAAAAAGAAAATATATATTAAAACAACAAATACCATGTAAGCTATAACACTTAAATATATCATATTTTCTTTCTATAGAATTATTTTGAGATTGAAAATTTTATTTATTTTTGTTCTAATTTTTGCAGATTTTGCTTAGTATTAAGTTGAGAGATGATTTTTGCAGATTTCCAACAACATAACTTTTTTTTTTCAATTTTAGACAAAAAATATTAGATCTACAAAAAAAAAATTAATATAAGTTACCATCTACTTTTTTTGGAAAACTATTTTTGCTTAAAAATTGTTATTATATATGTTTTTTCATTTGCTTAAAGATATTATTTTGAACTGGTAGAAGGGTAATGCTTTTCTTCAAGAAAATGGATTTCAAGATGGGAAATTATTAGATTTACTTTTCATCATATTCATTTAAGTCAAATAATCAATTATTGATAAAGTTGTGTTTTAACATTGTTGAAAATAAATGGAAACAAATTATTTTCCTCTATCTTATCTCAATCCCTATTCAATTTCTTTGATACACAATTATTTAATGCTATTTATTTTATCAACCTATCATATAGTAATATATCACTATTTTATAATTATAAAAACAATATAAAGTAAGTGTGCAATCGCATATAAAGTAAGTCTGCAATAGCATATACCGTCTAGATGTCAAAATATAATATCCTTATATTTTTGTATTGCCATTTTTTAGACTTTTTTTTTTGTTTATTATTAAAAGTCAATTATGATTTATTTTTAACTCTTATTTTTTTATATTATTTTTATTTATGTATAATTTTTTTCTTTTACTTATACTACTTTTAAAGAAATTATTTTTTCCTAACCTAATTTTTTCATTTCATATATCATTGTATATTAATTCTTCATAAAAAGAAATAAAAAAATTAGAATATCTATAGTGAAATAACTGTACTCTTTCATTTATTAATAAAAATATAAATTATTTTTAATTTAATGATTTGATCTTCTATAGTGATAACATTAATTGATTATAAATTTCACTTAAATATTTTTATTAAGTTTATGTTTTTTTAGATGTATCCTAATAGTTAAAGTAGGTCACTTGCCTTTGTCACATCAATTCAAACATAGAAATATCCAATGCATTCCAAAACCAAATTTCTATCTATATTTTATTATTATCAAAATTATAAGTGCATGATATATGTGATATACGATTTATTATTGATCTATATTTTTTTATATATAAATATTTTTTATTTATTCAGATATTTTTATAAATGATATTTAAATAAAAATAATTTTTATATATGGAAAAAATAGTACTATTGATGTAAAAAAATTTATATACAAAAAATAGTATTTATGATTCAAATATTTTTTATTCAATAAATGGTATATAGGAAAAAATATATTCTAATATTTTTTATTCAATTAATGATATATGGGGAAAAATCTAATATTGATCTAAATATTTTTATATATGAAAATTTAGTATTAATCCAAATACTTTTGATAACGACACCTAAACAAAAATGATAATGATATTTATACACGGTGTTCTGGACTGGGCCCGCCCTGGCCCAAAGCGCAGATAAAGGCCCAATCCAAGCAAACTCCTCGAGGAATGCGCACCCGCGGATCACCGCTGACGTGCCTGACCACGGGCTATAGCCATATCCGCCATTGCCTGCGACACATGGTGTCCCCGACCAAGGGAACTCCAGCCCGAGTCCTGCTCGAACACTCTCCTCGTAGGGAAGACTCTGTCCTCTCTGACCGTTATCGAATCATCTAAACTCCGGAAAGACCGCGTCTTCGTCCCTCCTCATTCTTCGCAGAGCATCACCAGGAAGGGGACCACGTGCGGGGCCCCACTACACACGTAGAACCTGGCAGTTCCTTTATTGGGCCAGTTCTGGTCGGCCCAATGAGAGGACCTTGGCCCAACGCTGGGGGCTATAAATACCCTTTGTTCCTAGAAGGTCAGGTATTCATCTATTACGCACCTATACATTTTTTGTCTGCTCATTCCGCTACTCATTTTAGCATCGGAGTGTCTTGCAGGTACCCCCCCATCTCACTCAAATTCTGCCCGAGCCAGTCGTGACGGTCCAATTCTGATCAGGTACGATCAGTGGCGCCGTCTGCGGGAAACTAGCTTCCCCGTCTTGCAAACTCTCGAAGACCAAAGCTCAAATCACCCCTACCGTCATGGCTGACCAAGTTCGGGACGACCAGAACGTCCGCGTCGTCGACGTCAACAACAACCTCGCAGATAAAAACGGAATTCCCGACAACCCCGGCAACCCAGACCATAACACACTCCCTGGGGGCACCATCCTCGGGCTCTCGACCCACCGCGACGGAGCTACTGCCTCATCTTCTTCAGTCCCTCCGCCACTCGAAGAAGACAATACGGCTCCCCCAAACTATCCAGCTGCCCAATTTCAGGAACTCCCTGTCCCCGCCGGGGCAGATGCCACGACCCGTGCACTATTCGCGGCGATCAATCAAACCAACTACCTCATCTTTGCCCAGGGGGAAAGATTGAGGGCGCTGGAAGACGATAGAAGACCCGCGAGGAGACACAGGAGGCCTCAGACCCCACCTCCTCAAATAACAGAGGTACATCTCCCGTCTCCCCCGCGGAGACAATACAAAGACATCTCCCGAAGCCCGTCCCCCCGACCATCGGGGAGACGACCCCCCTTGGAGAGGCAACCTGTCATTGAAGCCGAAGGGCGCAACCACGACCTTATACGGCAAGAAAGAAGACACTCCGGAGACAGGCACGGGAGAATGGACCAATGAGCATCCCGCCCGAGGGGCACCCTGCACGACCAGGACCGTTGGGCCCGACAATATCTCAGGTCCCCATCCATGTCCCCAAAGCAAAGTGACAAGGACGACCCCCGCGGTCCCCTTTCACAAGCCATCATGGAGGCGCCCATTCCCCCGGGCATGGAGAAGCCTCCACATCTGAAAGAATACGACGGAGTCGCGGACCCAGTCGACCACATAGACGGGTTCGAGGCTATGCTGCATTACCATAATGTCGGGGGACCCATCAAATGCCGGTTGTTTCCCACAACCCTTAGAAAGGCAGCAATGGATTGGTATAAAGGCTTCGCCCCGGGATCAATCACCTCGTGGCGAAACCTGAAGAATCAATTCATAAGTTCGTTCACTGCGTCTCGGCGACACTCAAAGACCGAGGCAGCACTCGAGGCCATCATCCAGAGACAGGATGAAACCTTGAGAGAATTTATCAATCGCTTCAATCGCGAAGCCATACAGGTCCCCTGCGCGGACCACATGAAAAGGTACTTGCTGGAGAGGGGGCTCCTCCCCGGCACAAAATTCAGAAAGGCGGTGGGAATCGAACCACCCCGAACATTCGATGCTCTCCTCGAGAAGGCCCGGGCATATATGGATTACGAGGAAAGGGAGGCGGCCAATAGAGCCCGGGACCCCAGAACTCGTGGATCCAGCAGCAACCTGCGCTAAGAAGCCGCTCCTCCTCGACGAACCGGGGAGAAAAGAAA